CAAGAACTTGAAATCCTTAGATCTTAATATTGTGGTACGACCCACTGAAGCATCAATATTGGAGATTCCTGGACACAGACTGCCTATACGAGGATGTTGTGAATTGCTAATAAGAGACGATAATTCTTCATACATACCTTGTGAATTTTTTGTTAGCGAAACAGGACTGTCAATACCGTGTTTAAGGAATTTGAAAAGGTTTAAAGTGGAGCTGTCTTTCTCAGTTTCTGGAGCGAATTCTGATGCTTTACTTAAAGATTTGATAGCTACGTGTGCTAAGTGCAGTAGAGGTATGAAAATTAAGCCTATAAAACGTAAAGTACAGGGTGATCCAGTCTTTCTTAAAAGACGAATAATTCCTTATGGTCTTCGAGAGGCAGTACATAAGACATTAAACGGTTTGTGTGTGAAAGGCATAATTGAATCAATTCAGTCTTCAGCATGGGGTACTCCTATAGTTACGCCACTGAAGTAGGACGGCAAGACCTCTAGAATTTGTGGTGACTATAGATTAATAATGAACTCCCGTTCGTTGAAGCAAACGTGCAAGACGATAGAGGCTGAAGATATTCTAAATCGACTTCATGGTTCTAAAGTATTCTCGAAAGTTGACCTAAAAGATGCTTATCTTCAAATCCCTTTAGATCAATCTTCATCTATTTTGATGACAGATAGCACTCTTTTCGATCTGTTCAAATATAATTTCGTTCCATTTGGTCTTAGCTGTTCTCCAGCCATATTTCAGGAAGTTATGAATAAAATAGTTAGTGATCTTGAAGGTTTTAAAGTTAATCAAGATGATCGGATTGCTCATGGTTCTGATAACGTAGTTCATGACCAGAAACTTATTGCTTTATTGCGTCGTTTAAGTGAGAAGAATATTACGGTTAATCCAAATAAGTGTTCATTTCGTGTATCTAGTTTTGAATGTCTTGGATACCTAGTTGATAGTAATGGTTTTAGACCAGATATGAAACGACTAGCTCCACTGACAACTGCACCGTTTCTAAAAAATCTTACGAAACTACGTTCATTAGTGGGTGCTCTTCAGTACTATATTCATTTTATTCCTGACTTTTCTTGTCGTGAAAATTGTTTATTTAGTATTTTGGCATCCGATTCATTCAAATGGAGTGAGGAACAAGAGTCATGTTTACGAAGTCTACCAAAGTCTCTTCAAAGTGATGCTGTCCTTCGAACGTACTCCCTTAATGTACATTCTGTGCTTATTACTGATGCATCACCCGTGGGCGTTGGCACAGTTTTGGGTCAGGAAGGTAGACCAGTTATCTGTGTTTCACGCAAACTTATTGTTACTGAACAAGGTTATCTATAGACTCAGTGAGAAGCATTAGCTGTGTTTCGGGCTGTTAAAAGACTTCACAAATATTTATTCGGAAAGAAATTCACTATTGTTACCGATCATGAAGCTTTAATGCGTGTTTATCATCCAAAAAATCCTTAGCACGTTCCTCAGCTGCTATGGTTCAACGATGGAGTATTGCTTTGTGTGCATATGACTATACGGTTCAGCATAGAAGTGCCAAATAAATTCAACACGTTGACTACATTTCTCGACAGTCATTGCAAGATAGACCTGGCAATACTTCAGACTGTTTGTTAGTGCAACCTTTACCGGTGAGATGTCCAGATCTCATTAGAGAAATTCGTTGATACTTTGGATGTATATTCAGTGCTATACGGATAGGTAGGAATGCTAATTTGAAACGTAGATTTTCTGTCTATTTTTAAAAGTGGGACGAGCCATCTGCTGCTCCTGATGGGGTTTTGTGTTTAAATGATCGTGTTGTTATTCCTTCTTCATTGCGTAAATCTTTCCTTGAAGATCTTCATAGTGGACATCTAGGTGTTGAGAAAATGAAGTATTTGGCAAGGCTCAAATGTTCGTGGCCGGAGATAAATACAAACGGAAGTCGTACAGCAAACTAATATGAAGAATGTCATCAGTTGAAAAATCAACCTTTAAAGTGGACTCCATGGCCAGTATCGTCTGAGGTCTGGCAGAGAATTCATGCTGACTATTGTGGTCCGTTTCTTGAAAAATACTATGCGCTAGTAGTTATTGATTCATTTTGAAAGTGGCCCGAAGTTTTTTTCACAACTTCACCAAATTCTGATTTCACAATCCAAGCATTAAGAAAGGTGTTTAGTCGAGAAGGGGTTTCCATGGTGTTAGTGACCGATAATGGTTCTCATTTTGCTACAGATGCAGTCACCACCTATTTTAATGGTACAGGGTGCAAACATCTGTTTACTGCTCCCAGACATCCTTGTTCTAATGGTCAGGCAGAAAATTTTGTCAGGACATTGAAAACTGCTATTTATTCTATTGCCGCTCAACATTTAATGAGCTGAAGAGGGGACTAGATACCTTTCTACTGCAACATAGAAATGCCAGACATTCGGTGACAAAAGAGATTTCATCAAAGTTTTATGGTGCTGAGGAATAATGTGCCAATCATTATCATGTTAAGTCTAATGATGTCCTTGGACGTTAAATGAACATTTCCTATTGGCCGTTATTTATTTCACTCGTTAAATATTGTACAGATGTTGTTTTCTATTTTTATGGTACGATGTGGTCTGTTTGGTTAGTATATAAATAGAGTATGTCTGAAATACAATGATTCATATCTCAGAGGCTGTGACTTGTGTTCTGGACTCAACTGGCTGGGCATGACAGCGAGGCAGGGCCAATCGGGACTAAGTCGTTCGTACGTGTTTACGTGTCACTGTAACCGACCAATAAAAAGCTGCTTATCAAAACCTGCAGTCACCCGTTACAACACAAAGCTATTAAAAGAAAGAATTCTTCGGTTGAATATGAAATATTTGGAGTCTGCAGAAGTTACATATTGTCGTAGAAATGATCTTCGACCATCCGCGGGGATTGTGCCGGAGAATGTTGGGGGATCTATGAAGCGAATTCTAGATATCAATGACTTAAGTACAGACAACCGACATGTTGATCAAATACAATTTAAGGAACCAGGTGAGTCTGTTCCAATTTCGGTTGTTAACTCTAATGCTAGTGAGTACATTGTACAGAATACTTATCCAATACACTATCCGACAGATACAGAATGAATTTGAGAAGAAGACGTACAATTTATTACGGACACCTAGACTCGAATTTAAGCTGTGCCAGGTGTGGTGTTTGAATGAATTATTGATTCCTTTGTACTTGTTGAATGCTTGATTTCCAATTCCAAATACAGTACATTGGCTCGTGTTTATCGAATACTTCTTGATCCCATTGCTTTACTTCTGGGATTCTTAATTTGTACTATGATTCAAACACTCCTAGTCATCATAGTTTGAACTATAAATTTTCTGCAATCTTAGATCTCGTTTGGACTGTTCATCAGGCAATGCTACACATCTGGCTTAAACTAATGTTGGACTTACACAAATTCAGTCTACAACGCTGTGTTAATCCAAGAATTTAATCAACAGTACCTCGTATATAACCCAGATCCAAACTTCTGTCTACTTCATATCTTTATAACTTGGAAGCAAGAGTAACCCAGGCGAGTTTCATGATTTCATTAGGTTACTTCGTACTATATTTGTGATGCGTGATAACATTTCGTAGTTGCTTTCACGTAAAGTAGGCATATATTTTGTCGCTGCCGTCAACTTTTAGTCGAAATCATGTACATGTATGACTCGTTACTTTACATACTGTGGTGGAACATATTGCATGTACATGAGCACTCTTAGTTCATGTCCTAAGTAGACACTTTGTCGTACGTAATATGTCACTTAACGCTAGATAATAAGCTCTTTGTACCAGCTTTTTACAAAATGGCCACGTTACCTGAACCCTCTAAACTTTTGTTACATTGGTGGTTACTATTTTAATTGATGTTGAATATGCTCCTTGTATTTGCTATTACTCCATACGGCAAATCATGGCTCGAGTTCCTTATTACAAGACAGTCATTTTAATTCCATTTTCGGTTTATTTGTATGCAATACGGGTTTGGAAAATATCTAAACGTCCTCGAAAATTCTCCATGAGCCCAACCATAGTTTTCGCCTATGTTTTAATTCACATGTCCAACTATTACTCCAATAATACCAAAACGAACGTTCAGTGCAACTGTCATTATACGTAAGAACGTTTATACTTCTGTACTTACGGTTAGTCTGTTAAATATAGATATAACTAGAGGCTGTCAACGACACTGTCTGACATTCAACTTTAAATCAATGGCAGTATATACATCGATATCGATTGATAATACACTTCTCATCATTACTCTTGGGATAAACGTAACGTTTCTCATCGGAGGAACTCAATTGCTTGTCAGAGCCACATATTTCAGCTCGACGTTATGTTCTTTGTATTATTTCTGTGGTTAATCGCTTTACGTTCAACCAATGTTCTACTAACATATTATTACTCACTGTTTTCCAGATCACTTTCTGCCGCCTGCTTTCCGTATGTCTCACAGCTCGGCAATACCCGGGAGATTCATGTTAATCGTTTGGCACTCTCCTGCGCGCAACTACTCCCAACATGCTTGGTATCGATTCAAACGGCCGTTGAATCTGGTGGCGGAGTATTGTAGGGCCAGTGAAATTCCACTGAACCCTAGCCAAATCATCCGGGAGTTGGGTCAATGAATATTGAGCAAATCGTCCATCTTCGTCAAGATGAGGGACAACCAACGCGCATCAGTTAATCGTACGCCATGGACTGGCCCATGCGGCAGTTGTCTTACTTTCGCTTCTATCTACTTTAAGTAATATATATTTCTGTAATAACGTCCTCTGTGTTGTGCAGTCTACAAAGCATCTATGGTACCTTGATACGTCAATAAGGTAGTCCACGTAAGCTGCTGACAACGAGATGTGACTCCGACGTTAGATGGTTCGTCACGTCATTCCCGCTTACCTGGAGTAGGCTTCCGATCATTCGACATAGATCATCTACATTGGTGATCTACAGAGCGAACACGGACAACTAGATCATGGCATCGCTGGAACATAGCCGCAGAGCTGTAATAAAACAGGATGGCGGTTGTCTTTGCACTGAAGCTGTCGTACAGACAATGGCCATGGTAAATATGAATACGAATACTTGGGATCATAACATAGACGCCGAACTATTTTCTGTGCTAGAACATGATGAGTGTAACAAGCAAGAAAAATCTTGCTCGATATTATTGCTTCTTAGTGACGACATGGAAGTGAGTGGACGGTCGTGTAGAGTGATGGTGACTTACTCGAATCTATTTGTTTTATTTTGTAGGCTAACTCTGTAGAGGCACAGACTGTAGCAGTTCAGTTGTTTCAAGAAAGAAAAGACGGTTTTCTACTCACTTTATGTGATTTTCAAGAAAACTAAATTTTCAGAACTACTGCTTTTTTATTTGGACCAAACCTACATTTCCTGAGGCTCACATGTCCACTTTTAACGGACTCATTTATATCAAATCCCGTTGGCTGTTGTATACATATGTCGTGATTATTACAGAGAGGGTAGAGAAACTAACCATTGGATGTAATAATGTTATTCGTCAGTGAAATCAGTTTACAGACATACTTTTACGATCACTAACCCGTAAAAACAATTATTACCGTGTGAAAATGGATGACGTTCTCAAATTTTAATAATAACTCTGTACCCTGTAAATGTAAATGATAAATCCGAAACATAAGTCTTCAGCATACGTAGCAACTAATCAAGGAAATTGAGGTTGTCCTCTTATGTTTACTTTTTCTTAAAATTATTCTTTCGTTTCACTCAGTTTCCTTATTCGACCACGTTGGCTTATTATATGAGGATCTAGACACTTAAACAAAGTTTAAAGGGTTCCTACTTGGAAAAAAATATCAATGAGTGGTTAACATAAAGCCACAGTGTTAAAGTTATTCGGACCTATAACCTAATTAAGCCTAAAATCTCGTGTCAAAAAACTGGGTGTGAGACATGGTCTAACATTTTCTGCCTATTTTTTGATTGATGTAATCCCTTTTTAAGTTTATTTTGCGATCGATAAAATTATAAGGTATAAACCCCGTAAACACGCTTGGTTTTGTTTAACTTCATTCCGTTCTCACCTAGAAATTTTAACACGCCTCTCATATTTTGTTCACGTGACTGAGAATTGACAAGTCACGGCGAACGTGAGAGCCCAAAATAAGAATGGCATGTCTTGGTAATGGAGGTGTAGTAACTCCATGTAACTTCTACCTTTTCATGTTAAATATATTATTCTATCCCTAGCCCAGATGTGTTCTTCAGAAGTGCTAGATACCATATTACTGATTGTCGCAACACGATGAGTCAGTACAAACAGTGGTGTGACTTACACACAAGATCTTATAGATTTATGGTCTCATCACGATAAACCTACAATTCGGGGATTTGGTCCATCACTATAGACGTACTAATATCAAACTGGACCATCTAAACAAAGTTACGTATAGCGTACGAAACGTTCTTGAGTAACTATTATCCAATTACATCAACACACACTCTGGGCTCGATTTAGGCGGTTCAAAGTCAAGAAAAAATTATTAAAGGCGTAGAATTTACCAAACAGTATTGTCTGTGCCATACTGTCAAGGGTTTCTCTAGCACAAAATATCGTCCTATATAGCGAAAGCACCAGTTAATGAATAAGTGTTCGGCAATTAAAATTCAGTAACAGTATTCCAACAGGACGGGATCAAATATCTATTCACGATAGTGTTTGTAACTCTTCTACGAGGACAGTCAATGGTTAAGTCATGCAGTGAATCATACTGTAACCATGAGTTTAGTCGAACACGACCATTAGAGTAAGGTCTGGATCAACTGAGATCAGTTTTACAGCCTAGGGCGATTGATCATAGATGTTTTTGACTATTTTCTGTCATTATTGACCTATAATTCTAGTACTAAGATCGGGATTTAAATATTAGCATGTCTGAAATGCGCGTATCCCACTTCCAACATGTACTAGGCTTATCAGAACACTATAGAGTACATGTAAAATAGATGCAAATCTTCTTGATCGCAGTCTGAAAACTACGGAGTGAAAAAACGATATAGATGGCCATGATTCTTTTGAAAAGAAGCTTGATATTCCAGTTGCAAAAATTACTCCATACATATTTAACAACCGTCTCGAATGCTATTCATTATTTAACCGTTCCAAGCCTCTCAGAGACTTTTGCGAGAGTCCGACAAACTGATACTTCTTTATTACTTATAGTACGCGTTTGGAGTTTGATATCAAGTACAACGTCTGCGTACTGACTTGAATTCCAAGGTCGTGCGAATCCAAAATCGTTGTTCACATTAGTCTATTTTTGCTCAGTTAGTGACTTCTGAACTGAAGTTAGTGACTTTTTGAATTTTAAATACGCATTCCAAAAAAGTCGCTAGTTTCAATATCTAGGATAGACTGACTGAAAATAATATCAGTTGTGATAGCTTGTTCGCATCAAGTTGTGAACCAACAGCTCAATACTTGACTGCCTGACTATGAAGTGAAAGCAAAAAGTCACTGCTAGTTTGTTTAAGAATCTGTTAATCGAGAACATAAGTGCATACAAATAGAACTGTAGTAACTGTTGTATACTTACGTTTTCGCTTGACATCAAGTGACATTGCCGCAGATGTACTTCATATCTTGCATCCAACAAGTGAGTCTGGCATGCAAAGTCAGTCTGCTTCCTTACGGCCCCTCTGTCAAAGTAAATGGTCACTAAGTCGTAGACACAGAACATCTGGTCGTCAATACTCACAATCGTAAGGTAAAAGCAGTAATTGCTAATACTAATTTTGCTTTTCGTCCTATATAGTGTATACTTAATAGCTAATAACGGTAAAATGCAAGCCGGCTGGTCTTTCCGTCCTGCAGGAATTTGTTCCGTTGACCCCTGGTAGTTCTGTTATATTGATCGTAGTATACAGAGAGTACAACTTAAGACATAATCTTGTAACTTCTTGTCTGTCAATGCAGACTCCAACACATTTAGCCCTTCAGATGTGTGAAACGTGATCTTTAATAACCAAGAACCCATGTTGCATCTCATCTTACGTCTAATGTCAACAGACTTACGCGTCCTCTAACCTGATTTGTCGGTTCGATGAATCACTAACTTTCAACATCATCAGTGTTTATCTTTGTGATAACTTACGCACTTCAGAAATGTTAATAGGCGCCGATAAAATCAAACTTTTGTGTACGGTCTGTAATGTGGCGGGCTTTGAATTGTATGAGTTATGTGGAGACACAAATTTGTTCTTAGAAGAAATGAATGCTAATAGTCTACGAAGTGAATATTTACTTGAAAATAGGTGAGAAATTTTTGGCGGAAATATTGACGTCAGGATATTGAACTGGACTTTTACTAACTTCAGACTCTTCATATGTGTTTGTGTTCTGACGTTCTTTGTCCTTGTGTTTTCTGAAGTTTGTATCCTACATATAATCATCAATCTACCTCCCTGACTTTTCCGAATGACTCCGTAGTAAGTCATCTTGGTTAATATTGGTTGTAGAGTAGTTGAAGATGCTTTCGAATGCTGAGTTCAACTCAAAACCTACCTAAAAGTCATCTGGAGGGGGAAATGTCTTGTGTAACTACAAGTAACCACAGTTGTACAGCATTCCACCAAAGTCCAATCAGCTCCCACATTGATTCGTTTCATCACTTGTTTTGTAATACTGATCGATTTTCTCTCAAAGCTGGTTACCACAGTATGCCTTCGGAAGCGAATAAATGATGTACTGGGATGTTAGAAGTGCTCATCCAGAGCTGTAGTTAATAAGAGTAGGTTGTGTGGGTTCTGATCAACTGATGCAAAGACTAGAAGTAATACGTGTATCTTGGGATTCAATGAAACAGGTTTTACACGACATAATCGTTGAAAATTGAGCCCCTAACCATAGTCATCACCAATTTTGCTTCGTGTAACTCACAAAATGACGTATTTCATAAAACTGTTGAGATGTTTTGTATCGGGTTTGAGTTTATCATCATTCATCCCACAATGCTTTCAACATTTTAGGTCTATACTCTGAGGTGTCCCTCGTATCCCTACTTATCTATCTCATGACCACTCCAATAACATCTTGTATGGACGAATCAGAGTTTTCAGAAGTCTACCCACCATCTGAGGATTCCTACTTATTTTTGGATGCTTTGGAGTTGGATTCTGGATTTTTGTCCGAATTGAGGCCCACTTTAACTCTTGAAGTTGGAAGCGGTAGTGGAGTTATCAGTGCATTCTTTTGCTCATCCATTTCAAAACCACTCTTCCACATATGCACCGACATATCCCTCACCGTATGCGGCTATTCAATCACTATCTTACCATTGTAGGCATGTTACGCATCTCAACGTGTGCTGAACGTAAATGTTCCTAGTACATCGGTGACATATGATGTAATTAATTGTTCTTTAGCAACTCCCCTCTTGTCTAAACTATATAAAAGTGTGGATTTAATCATGTTTAATCCTCCCTATGTACCGACAACTTCAGACGAACACAAAGCTGCTAGTTCGACTATAGTTGCCTCATGGTCTGGTGGGCGACTGGGAAGAGAAGTAAGACTACTTTGCTGGTTTTTTGGTTCAGTTAAAAGTTATAAATCTGTGGTTCCAAATCTTCCTGCAGGCATAAGCATATTTTTGATGTTTTTTGGTAAACTCAGTGTGTGTACCAATCGATTTAATTTCACCAATCTTAAGTCAACATCACAGAAATCAGTGGATATTACAGAACTTACTCATTCCAAGTTTAGTATCTTATTTGGATGTTATGCACTGAAGTCCATTTTGAACATCTGTAGCTGTATTTAAAAATGTTCACTCTCTGTGTTAGTACTTTCTCATTATTCCTTTTGTTGATACTTCTGTACTCTGTTATGTAATTGTGTTGTATACCGAAACCGTTATTCAACATGAAAATATATTAGATTGCCTGTTAGATAGTATCTTGTAGATAGCAATGAATAAAGTAGAAGGTTCATTTTGAAGATTCTATATGAAATTACCAAGTGTCGTCTTTCCTTGCATTTCGAATTCCCTAACTGTAAGCACTAATTTGCTAGCTTAAGTCACTTGCTCCTAAAACTTGTTCTATTAATCTGAGATTAATATGATCTTTTGAAACTCTCACAAATGAATGTACTAGATGTATTAAACGCTTGCTGAAGATTTCCCCATATTCCTTTAGACCATAATTTGCTTATGGTGTGTCAAATAAAATGGTTTATATTGTTCGTCCTTCCTTCAAACCCCTTATTTGTACATTGCGTTTTCTTAACTGAATTTCAGGTAATTGACCCATTTTTAAGTCAAGCTTACAATTTGCTCTCACCACACGGCTGCATTTATTTACTGTTATCGAAAGACAACTGTCCTGAAGAAGTACATCTTATGATGAAAAACTTGTCTAATGGAAGAGTCCATGCAAAAGAAATTCTTCATAGACGAGTTCATAATGAATTTTTAACTGTTTTTCGCTATAGCTGTTGATATTTATAAATAAACAAAATATAATAGCTTGCATTCCATTATGAACTGTGACTTATTCACGGAAGTATAGTTATGCAGACAAACTTATCTTACAGTGTGAATCGTCTCACAAATATAAGTTTAAATAGCTGCATCTTGGAACAGCATACTGTACCAGTGATCATTTCAAAGTTGTTTTTGACGATCCACAGGACTCCCTTATTAGCTTTAGAAAAAACTTACACATCCTTACTTTTGACATACAATCACTAGGTCACATATTATTGTGAAACTATGAAATAATCATCACCGTACTACCAATCAGAGGTGGGGCCTTTGTTATCTAATTACAGATGTGTCTGGGAACCCTACATTAATAGCGTTGAAATTGTATGATATATCATACTGCGATGAAATCGAACTATATACGAACCCCTCACTTATAATGGCTATAGATTCTGTAAAGAGTCGCTTTATCATATGGTATAGTGCCTTTCCCGTGTTCCATATTTGATCCTTCTGCTCTCATTTGACTGTCTACCATTAACTAACAATCTCAGTTTTAATAGCCTTATATTATAGTTATGTTTTTAGTCCTCAATTATCTTTTAATTTTACTGAGAGGATATAATAATTGGGTTAGTGTTTGTTTTGATCCTCTCTGAAATGTTGTTACTTTTTAGATTTAGAAACGACCGAAATGAACACAACTTGTATAAGTCAGTGCTATTTTGGATTGTGTTAGACTAGTACATTTCGGTTACCTATCACTAATATTGATGCGTTTTATGTTGTGTAGAACATGTGTAAAATGTATTCTGTGTTTACCCTTGATACATCGTCATGTTAATGAGAGATATAAGTACTTGAATTGTTTCGTAAATGAGAGGACACTGTGCGTTACTGGATGCATGAATAATGGTACATATTAGAGCTAATATTGGGTGAAATTTTCTGACAGTCGAATTTTCAGATACTGACGATGATGTCCCCGCCCATAGTATCGTTTCTTCATGAATATCTCTCAATTGATTAGATCTCCACACTAAGTCCATGTCTATTTTATTCTAAAAATATGCCCCCACGTTTTCTAGATAACTATATGATTAGATAAATATTGTTTTAAAGCAATTAGACTTTATGGAACACTCACGAATTTAACACTTAATGTCGTCAATACTTTTCAAGAACTACATTTTGCTGAGACATTTGTATGTAAGTGTAACGATTTTAGTCAAGTGAAACATAACTCATAGTTTGTGCATATGCTAAGTGTAATTGGTGATGTGAAAACAGTAAATCAAACACTAATGCTAAAGTATTGCTTCTTCCATTACATTCTCATTTAAATCTTGTTACTGATACCCTGTATTACTAATCCAATGAGACGTTTTACTTCTCCAGAACACAAATGACCACAGCGTTATTTATATCACAACGAAACAAACGGGTGTATTTCGTGATGTATGAAAGTAGTGATGTAGTGTATATTTGTATTTATAGAGACAGAAATGACTGGCTTTTTGATAACCTCGGTTATGAGCAATAAATTCGACTTCACCATTAATTCAAAAAGTGTTAGTAGGATGCATCTATGTTGACGTTTTTTATTAGTGAAAGGTTGCCTCCCTAATTGACATACCCTTATATCTTATGTCATGCCTGCGTGTATATAGTGTAGCCAATGTTTCGATCCTTTAAAGAAATGAAGCTGTGATTGAAGGTAAGGTTGGTAAAAAAAACCTGATAAAGATTTGTGGATACCTAATTTCCCATTAGGTGGACACGGGACAGTGTCCTCTATATGTTGAATTGATGTCTCTCCTCGAGATAGAAAAGAATTATTCTTTTTACAAATTAAGAAATGTGTAGCTTAAGGTATTCAGCTTAGAAGAAAATTTGCAGTTGGTAGCTAGAAATCAAACACTGAATATAGAGAATGTCCTGTTTTGATTTTTTATGAGACCAGGAACACACACAGTTAGAAGAGTTACAAAGCTTTTCACATCACAAACGTGCTACTGGTTTTGGTCTTAGTAGTATCAAGGAAAGTACTGAAATGTGTTATTTGCAGTGGGATTTTAGGTTTGTTGCTCTGTCTCATGAACACTTTCAGACTGTTCTGATGTAATAACTATCAACGATTATGAAGCCTAAAAATACTTTCCATATACTAACGGAACAAAATAAGCAAACTCTTGGTCAATCTTAGCGTCACTGATAGCAAGCTTATAGTAATAAAGCTTACTGGATAATCGTTTATGCAAGGCTTTTATCATCCTAGCCTACAGTGTACTATGGATAAACGCGGTAATGTACTCACATTTATCTTTCTATTTCCGTCGCAATACTTAGTTGACTTTTCTCTCCTACTGATAAAGTTTCTCACTTGGAATAGGATTTGTCTAATAAGAGAAGAGATCTTCGAGTAGTAAAATTACAGAAGCAGAACTAACTATGTCATCAATTATGTTTCATTAGGATCTTATGTTGTTTAAAAAGATTTCCGTGGATTCAGAGAGTGCTTCTAACTCTGAAAGACTTCAGAATAACTGAGAGGATCGGTACTAGGCAATACATGTATGTCGTCGAATAACGAAAGAATATAAACATAGCAAATCAAAGAGCTTACTGATTGAGAAGTATTATACGAAGCCTCAGGCACGTGTAGACATTGGAAAGGTATCGGCTCTTGAATTTTCACCTCATACATTCAATTTCAATATATCAGTCGGATTACCAACCGATATGCGGATTGCAGTATTTGATTCCTTATGCTAGTTTTAGTGCTTAGAAACAAGGCTTTCCAAATGAATTATCATATTCTACCATGACTAGGTAGTAAATTCACTACATTGAACTGTATGAATCAAAACAAAAGAATAGTCTTGAAAGTTACTCCTTTCCTGTTGGTGATATATATATAATATCGAAAGTTTTATTTGTTCACATTTCATGTATTATTCCATAGTCTTTTGATGAGCACTAACAACTGGATTGTAGTAATCGTGATTATTCACAGACTAATCCGTGTACACATTGGAATTCCATTAGGAACAGGTAAAACAAATAATGTATACAAATGAGTTCAATCGCTTAAATTTGTGAATAACGTATTCAAACTGTAACTTTTCTGATCTTAATAATCATGGTGATAGATTAGGACTGTAGTTGCAACACGTTTCTTTTGTGGTTAGAAAAATGTTCTTATGATAGAGAAAATGATCAGATACAGTTGTTTACTGTCACTCCGACAGACAGTTAACAATTCAATTGAACATACAGAACTTAAATAACAAAGTTCATCATACACACATCACATATATTTGTAGAATGTTCATATACATGAAACACTATGATAAGTTAGTACTAGTAATCGCTTCATTAATCTTAATGTGATGGAATATAATTCCTTCCTCATTATAGTACAGTAGTTACTATCATTATCAATGTAATCATTTAAGTGTTTGAAATAATTCCTCAACTTCTTTCCTAGCCTATAAATGATTAAAGATATATATATACATGTTCACAAACATGTAGTAGAAAATAATTTGGTATACATTATCCGAGATAATATATATATATATATATATATATATATATATATATATATATATATATATATATATATATATATATATATATATATATATATATATATATACATTGATTACACTATTACATATTAACGATGAACAAACTGTAATACAGAGGACAAATGATCCCCGTAAGTTCATCTACTAAATTTGTGTAAATGCAGTCAGAAATTATGCCAAAGAAATGACTCTCCATATTTGAATCTTAGGAAATTGGGTGTGAAACCTAACTTAACCCACTACCCAAGTAGATTGAAGGACCTAAATGTGGCTATTTCCCGACATTAGGCATACAAACAGTTTTCCGGAAATGTGTTTAGTAAAATGATCGCTGAAGTCACATAATTAAAAGTGAGTTGTTGTGACTTTCCAAAGCTTTTGTGTAATAATTTGATTTTCCGCCAGTTTCATTTTGTTTTGACACAAGTATATATAATCATACATTTCAGATGGAAATAATAAACTTGTAAGGTGACAACTGTTTGGTTGAGAAAGTGCTATATTGATTGAATTCTATTCGCTTATCGCAAAGGAAACATTCTATAAGTCCATGTGTGAAATCTTCGCTTCTTGGAGTCGGTTTACATGTATGAGCAAGTATTTCCATATGTGGACTTGAACATATCCAAGTATAGATCTCGACTAACAGATACAAATCTATAGTGATTGTTGCTCATGAGGACAATTAAAGTGACTCCTAATTACACTGTGATGACTAAAACTGTGCACAGGTGAATTCATACTATTAATAAACCCGGCATCAGTAACACCTAATATTGGGTAAGTAAATGTTACTTCATGAATTTATGGTACATCACAGTATCTCGTACATGCGGCCAACCGAATGTTATATGGGTTCATCAGCGTTTAGCAGATATGCTTATCAACCTCTATGATAAAGGGTTGGCTGAAACTGTTAGTGAGCCGTCCACCTAGATTTTATGCTAGTTGTCACCCGTTAACAAAGCGTATTTGCATCTAGTAGGTGACGTTAGTGACTGTGATACTGAATGATACTCGTTCAAATTTCATGGGCACCGTTAGTTCCGTGATGAGTCCAAATCTACATTGCTAGAGGGTTTCAACTGACAGATGACCTGGTTCAAGAGCCCCTTGGTGCTTACCTTCAACTATCGGATAATAATCACCATCCACTCCAATGCCAATATACTTAATTTAGTTGCGTCATAAATATGACTAGATCACCAGTATATATATATATATATATATATATATATATATATATATATATATATATATATATATATATATATATATATATATATATATATATATATATATATATATGGCATTCATATACTTACCTCATCGGCTTCGACATGATGTGCAGGATAATTAAGTACTTTAAGAGCATAATCTTTCGCTTTGTCTTTTTCTCCTAGTCGTGCATAACATTTAGCCAAATGTGCCAGTGTTATTACAGATCTCATAGGAGCCACTCCATGTTTTAATTTAAAAAAAGAATGAAATCAATGAGAATTTATGTTACTCATTTATCGAAAAGATTATAAACATTTTTTATGTGCTCATGTGTATACTCTACTTACATTCTTCACATTTCAGCATATGTTTTAATGCCTACATACAAATAATAGGTTTTTTATTGGGAATTTACTCATTACATACCAATTCATAAGAGAATTCCTTCCCAGTATACTTTGTACCTTTAAAAAGTTCTGGTTTTGTACTGTATACATCTGTCATAATAAAATACCTTATATGGATGTAAGAAAATATTTCAAGTGCAACTACTTACCATATGCCTAAGCTACCCTCAGTTAAAAAGTTATTCGGATCAAGTTTTTGTGATTTCTTTAATTTCCATCGATTTTCGAATGAATAAGTAACATGTCAACTTACAATCCATATGTCATATAACTGTGAAACGTTCCTGAATCTTTCTGAGAAACCTTTCAAATTACTGTGTTCATCCCATAAGATACCATACCACTGAATAAATTTGGTGAATAAATAAATGACATAAATGTAATGAAATTTCAAAATACCGTTAAGGAATTAGCATGATTAGGGTTTTTCTCCATAGCCTTTTTAGCTGCATTCATCCCCTCTGAGAAATATGTTTCACAGAATGCTTTACATGGTTTATTTGTGACATAATAAACTAATAACAAGAATAATAATTAGTATTATTAACAAAATTTCTCATCACGATGACATAAAACAAGAACATTACCACAAAGATAACATGCTTGAGCAAATCTCCATAATAATTCAACATCATCATAATTTTTCAATGAAGCTTTGAGATAATGATAAACTTTGTGAAATTGACCTTGTGCAACTAACTTATCAGCTTCTTTAATGATATCTTCCATTGGCGTTTTATGTGTATTTTCTAAATGAGATATTCTAAAACTATGCAGAAAAATACGAATCCAAGTAATTTTAAATTATCTTTCTACTGACCAATTGTAATTAACTAATAGTTTCAATGCTAATCAGCCAGTCACAACTCTAAAGAGAATTCCAAATCACACAATTATTTAAATATAGCAGTGATTTGATTGATTGACGTTTGTTATTTCAACATATTATCATACTGATACGTATATAAGGATTTCGACAAATCACAATTTAAATGGATTTTTGTTGTTTTAATTACTTTCACCTATATTCAAGCCGAATGATATTAAATATCGATAGAACAATGAGAAGACGGAGTTGATCTGAAAAATGTGATATATATGCATTTCGAACAATCTGGTCACACATATACTTGTCAGGACATTTTTATATGAAAATACTAAAGGTCGAACAAATAAAAGTTCAATTAAATACATCAAGCAAATACATCGCATTTTTCAGATCAACTACGTCTTCTCATTGTTCTATCGAAATTTATAAAAGGGACTAATTGCTTTAAAGATATTAAATACGTTTATATAGTTTAACATTGCATATATAATTATGTTTTGACAATGAACTTACTAATAATTATCGTCATATTGCAAAGATTTTAGAAAATACATTTAAATGTCGTGACCTGGTTGTTTCAGATTGATTTTTCAAAGGTATAGTTTAAACAATTGTCCATAGGTCAACATCGCTGCGTTGTTTAATTGAGTCAGTCGGCCAATATGGTTTTAAACTGTGCTACATGTAAGATGCATTTTCTGATAATCAACAAATGAAGTAAATGTTATTGCTTGACTAGTTTATGCCGGTCATTTGTGTTTTAGTGGCCCGTGGATCTGACTCCAATTAGATTGTCTGAATATTTGTTATCGCCTATCTTCGTAAATAATCGTCGACTTAAATCGCGTTAGTCAATAACGGAATTGAATAAGTCGAATAACAAGAATGGCCTTGTGAATGCATATATTTTGTGTATAAAACGAATGGAATAGAGAGAAGAGAAACGACGCAGAGTGGAGATGGCTGGTAAGCCAACACCCATTCAACCAAGCGTTAATCAATATTTATAGTTACACAAAAGTAAGTTACAGACATGTGATGAGTAATGGGATAAGAAATGTACTCCAGAATTCTACTTACTATCACATAATGATGATCGTCTTCTCACTGTTTCACGCAATAACCGCTATTTTTATTTCAAGATGAGACGTATAATTTCAATCTCACATCTTGAAGTTCACGGGCCATGATTAGCCCTGTATTAAACCAACTTCACTAATGTCAAGAGAATATTTCTTAACACTTTATTATTACATGTAAAATTCAGGAGACTTCAATTTACTAGCTAAATTCGATGTGTCGACTACATTCTAGCTGTTTTACATGTGAAAATCGAACATCTCATGATTTAGATCCTTTGAATGAAACATGCAATTATTCTTGAAGAGCGCTCACGAGTTATTTCATATTGTTTGATATATAAATACAATTACGTCACAGCTGTAATTAAAATAAAATTCGGGATACGTTGAAGTCATTTCGAGTGAATTGAATGGAAAAAGCACTTTTCCATATGTTGAACAGTTGGTTTCACGTTGATAGAAGACGGCATTTCGCTTTCATTTCCATCCTATAAAATGCGTTTACTAAAACGTATAAATAAAATTACTCTCAAATATCAGTGTAAAAATATGTATGTTGACTTGTATTATTGAGTGGTTTAACTTTTTTGTGAATGTGCACTGGAAACAATACCTAAACTAACGTTGAAACTCTGTTCATGAAAGTCCAGAATAGGAGATTGATTTGAATACAAGAAAATTTATAACCTAAACTCTTAAGTATTTACTATCGTTGTTCGTACTAAAACTACTTAATATTTAGCAAAATAATAATTGGCAAGATGAAGCATGTCCCTCTTGACTCTATGATTGTCTGGTGACTTAATGACCTGTAAAATATTACGGTTCACAAGTAAAACATTTTAAATGAACCGAATGGGTGGATCAAATATTTCTTACCAGTAATCTCTGGAAAAGAAACACCTAGGGTTTTCGCGATATCTTTTACAGCAGATCTGCTAAGTGCAGGTGTGTTATGCACACAGATAACAATGAAGATGTATAAATATCTTTTAATATTCAGTGATGTTAGGAAATTATCATACCGAAACAAAGTCGAAAGTGAATATGAATGTTTTCAGCTGATAATGAATAATGATCACTATCTATCGCGAAATTAAGCAAAATGAGCAAATATGTAGCTCTCAAACATTAGCTTATTAAACTTGAACACTTCGATTCTGAGCAGATCAATCCTAATTCAAAAGATATAAGTTCTCAGTAAATCAAGATTATCAGTATTTATTCCTTGACATTATTAAATATTCATTTTTAGCTTAATTCACAGTCCTGATTTATTATTTAATTTGGGTGCTAAATAAAAATTGTTCACTTTCTGAACAATAATATTTTAGGACACATACAGTTTAACTATTTTCCGTGCTACACTTAATTCGTAATCCTCTGTTCATGAATATTTGAACTAAATGAATGGTACGTTTTAAAAATATTGATATTTTACTTTTAACCCATTCTGCTTTCTACAAAGAAATAAACAACCTTGAATTACATCACATAAAGTCTAACTCCATCTATTAATCATAGGACATAAAAAGATATTATTAATCAGTATGGGGAGATTTGTGGATAATGTCGAATTATTATATTATAGATCACGAACGGATCTTATCTGTACCACTAGTTCGAACGTCAAAATACTAGGATGGCTGTTTAGTCCCAGCAGAAGATTCTTCTGGAGGGGATTCGATCTCTGGGTCCGGGTCGTGAATGCCTACAGCTGAGAAGTTTCTTACTAGGACGAAATGACCATCCAGTGCTTCCAGGTTTTCACTCGTGATCTAACTAAGACCAGCTCTGGATTTAAACCACAGACATTATTGATCATTGATTAATATTTGACATAACCGATAAAAAACGGTTTAGTCAATGTTACCAATGTTTCATTGTGTTAAATAAATCGCAGTAAAGATAAATGTCAGTAGAAAGTACCTGCTTACACTTTTGTTTACCATTTACCAGTAACAGTTATTTTTTATTGTAAGTGTTAAACACCAATTGAATGTGCAACTATCCTATCTGATTCACATTCCTGTTATGTATGGAGTGCTCGATTCCGTTATATAAAAGGTTAACAGTACAAAGTTTTAATGACTGACACAGAAATATAGTATTTTATTCAGTGGTGTTATCAATTATATCATTCACGAATAGTTGAATTAACATAATTGTTTGACCTACCCAACAGCTATGATATGAGTCCGTCGGTTCGCTACCGTAAAAGAATTGCTTATAGATGAAAAAATCAACTGTTGTGTCCTGAAGGTTACATATACATCCAAAATATTATCAGTTGTCAAAACCAACAGATCGAATTATTCTACAATCGTAATTAACCATTCATAAATAACAGTGAGAGAAATCTGTATCATGTTGCTCCACTTAGACGTATACTGCAACTTTCTACTAACTCCAACTGCATCGTATCCAGCATTTTTGGTTACAGGTTTATTGACTTACAGCTTAACCACCGGATTTCGGAGTGCACTTTATTATAACATTTTCTTTCTGAACCTTGATTCACATGGATATTTGCGTTTTTCCTCCTATATGTTGATATTTCGGCCTGTGCTTCAGGTTCGTTCTTACTAACTTTCAGTGATATTGAAAGCTAAAGAGGATCCATAAAGTTAATCGTTAGTAAACCCTTATTAACACTAATTTCATTTTGATAAGTTTCTAGACTATATTTTTTTCAGTAATTTGTTGGCATTCAAGCAAGATGCCTACTTAAATCATTATTAACTTATGAATCTTTTTAATCTCCAAAATATTGGGCAATTTTCTGACTTAACGTTCTATTTAGACTCAGTGCATGGTTCACATTATATCGACCAGCAAGAGATAGACAATTTGAGTTGATTCAATATTCTTGTGTCTATTGAAAAATTTGAGAAAATCAAATAAATACCCCTATCAAATAAGGTGAAACTTGTATAATAACAACAGGATCTCTCTTAACTAAAATCTAAACTAACACATTATTTTGTTTTCAAGAGAGATATATTCCAATGAAGTATACATATTTTGAAAGATCTGTAAAGTATCACTTGACTTTCGTACATTTAATATGTTATCATGTGCTCTTTTTTCTATATTTTTATCTGTATATATGTATGTAATGTTTATACGCTACATAGTTTGAAGTTAATTTCTATTTAAGTAAAGTACCAAATAACATTTTACTGAAGTTTAGAATATCATGTAATTACTAAACTATTCTCTTGTGTAATTGGTTTGCAGAAAAAAAAATACAATATATTTATTATTACATACAACAATGATTCAAAAATCATATTGTGAGTAGCAAATATGGTGACAACTAAAGTATACCACTGAATGTGTTGTGTTTTGTTTTAAAATGATTCATTAAAGTTAAGGAAAAAACATTCTAAAGTGATTAACTAGCTATTTGTGTATTCAAGCCAACATAAATGACATAATTTAATTTAATAATTATCAATTAGAATGTAGTACTGTAAATTTACTTTTTTATTGATTGACTATTGTTCATTTTAATAAATCAACTTATTGATTATAATGAAATACTTCTCAAGTATTAGATAACTATAATTATGTTCTAAGCAAAGATGGATGGTGGATAACAGTAAAATCCAAGACTCACGTTTCGTCCTGTTTAGGACTCGTCAGCTCGTATCGACAGTTATAAGTAGTGTATATCACCGGTCGAAAGTGAAACATCTGACGGCAGAAGGTTAAAAAGATCGGAGAAAAAAGAACGAGAATAGAGAGTGACTGGTTTGGAAACAAAGGAACAATGAAGTCTGAGACAGTTGACTGACATTTTGCAAATGAAGTATTTACTGTAGCGTTTTCAGATTTTGCCAAGAGATTCTGTAATTTGTGTTTTAAATACATATGGTATTATTAAACCCTATACAAAAAAGGCTAGGAAATAAACATATGGACATAAATAGACAAAATACTAATG